ACGCGCCGATGAATTTATGCGTGTGCATGTTTGATTTACATGTGATGTTCACCTTTTGCATGTTCCTGCATGTGACACTTGCAGCAGCAAGGAAGCAAAACAACCTGGCAGACACTCTGAAACTGTTCATGCTTCATGTCTGAGGAGTCTATTTGAGATGCTAGGGTCTGCTGGAATGCGCAGTTGGGTGTGGTTGCAATCTCCTCTTTTGTCACTTCTGTACCACTAGACTTGCTTCGGCTCTAGTCCCATAAGTGCTTCTAGCAGTCGGTGAGCAATGGATGTGACAGCATTCTTCATGACCTTGCTGGTTTTGCTCTTGCCAGCAGTGTTGTACAAAGTTGCCACTCTTGTCAGGACCCTATGGGACAGGTTTGTTCAGCTTGAACAACATATCCTCATGTTAACTGGCAGTGAAGTGGGAGCAGTGACTCAAGCCAGAGTTTTTGAGCATGATTTCTACGAGGGAGTATTACGCCTTGTCCGCATGAACGATGTCAAGCTTGGAGAAACTTTGGCGACCCAGAATCGCCAGAGAGAAGAGATCGAGGCCCTCATCCACAAGGTGTATCGCAAGTTTGAGGAATGCATGGGGGATGCTTCTTCGTTACTGATGTTAAAGATGCTGCACAAGAATTCCAAGAGCCTATTCATGAATTCGTTTCGAAGGTCGAAGAGCTGTGTGCACACTGTGAAACACTGTCCCTGAAAACTGAGCAACTTTGTGGCACAGTGGATCACCATCTCCAGCAAAACAATTGTTTTAAGATGGCTCAATCACACCTCAGGGCAGTTTTGCAGTCAGAGGTACTTCCGATGCTTCAGGACATTGACATAGCATGCAAAGTTCTCACAGCAGCTCGAGGCTCGAAACCTGCAGGATAAATCTGTGCGTGCCATGCCTTTGAGGTCCCTCTTCCACGAGGGGGTCTCTTACCTCTCCCAGGAGAGCCGCGCGTACTATGTGGTGGCTATCTGCATGTCAGCGGCCATCGGGCTTCTGGGGAGCCAGCTTTACTTCAAGCTGCCCACGATCAACGAGTTCAGGAAGAAATGGTTTGGCATGTGCATGAGAATTTGTGGTGGCCTGCATGACTTGCCTGACCAGATGACGAAGGTCCGCCAGGACCAGGCTTGGATAATGGGCATGATGAATGAATTCGCGAATTCACAACAACGTCTACAAGAGGACTTATTGAATTTGCGCTCTGCGTGCCTTTCTCAAGAAGTGCAGTCGCGGCTGACTGAGATTGAGAAGATCCTTCGTCGCTGGGATGAGTCGCTGGGGTATCAGATTGGTAGAGATCTGAATGGCCTGGCAAACACGTTGGAGCAGCTGTGTGAATTAATTCGTAATTCATCCAACGAGAGGATGCTTGCATCTGTTATGCAAGATGCGGCCTGCATCCGACAACAGCTGCGTGTTGTTGAAGCGCTTGTCCGGGCGGAGCCGCCGCAAGTGAGTGCTGGCGAGCCCCATATCCGGTATCGCAGACCCCCGATCGGGAATTCGTGAATTCCTGCATGCTGCACGTCAAAAGTCCGTTTTGCAGTGAGCCGGATGGGGTCTACAACTCAGTGATTGTTCAAGCATACCTCATAAAGCTTTGGCTCGAAGGAGCCCCTCACCTTCTAGGATGGACTTTCCCTCAGCCTTCGGCATATCACTCCGTGAACCTAATAGGGTTTTGGATCTTTGCAATTCGGATGGGGAACATGAGCATGAAGTAGTGGCCTCCCCCTCGGAACCGTCTAGCCTCAGCACAAGCAGCTCTATATGCGAACACCTACCACCAACATTGAGAAGAGAGACCACGGAAGACCCCCTTTTGAGACCGATTGAGTTGGCCGCAGCCAAAATCCTGTGCCGAGCCTCCCCTCCTACATTGCAGGATGTACTAACTTTGTTTCTTCTTTACCCCAACAGCTATTTGACCTCCCGCGATGGGGTCCGCTATGTCGTTGCGGGAGCAAACCCCCGAAGTAGTGAACAACCCCTGACCTTCTTTCATGACATGCCCTGCTTTTGCATGGTGGTAACCAAGACCCTAGCTTGGATTGCACCACACTTCCGGTACACTACCTTCACCATTAGACGTGGATGCAAGGGAACACCACATCGGGATCTGCGCAATGGCATGGATGAATCCTTGGTAGTACAGCTCACACCGCCTATTTCGGGATCAGGCCTCTGGGTTCAGGACCCCTTGGGAACAACAAGCATGCAACACAAGGGAGCCCCAGTCCTAGGACGCATTGCTAACATCGACAAACCATATTTTCTGAAAGCGAGGCGACTTCTGCATGCAGGCTATCTTCCTCCTGGAGTAGACCCGTTGAGCCGAATCATTTTGGTAGCCTTTACTACTATCAACGTCAACACCCTCAGTGATGAAGTGCTCAACCGCCTCCTCAACCTGGGGTTTAGGATCACCCACCACACTGATCGCATGTGTGTTTAAATGAACAACGCCGGCTAAGACAGCTCACGCTACATGAACTCTTTCAGCTTCCCCCTGAAACTCGAGATGAACACGATGTAGTAACTGTCCTTACCCTTTCTGACCGTATTGTAGAGCCCGGACTCCTCACGGAAGTAGTAGAGGTGCTTGACAGCCAAGAACAACACGAAGCTTCTGCCCTGACCTCAATCCTAAACCCAGAGTGGAACCACGATGTCATTCCTGTTGATGAGGCCTCATCATCAGCCCTACCTTCCTCAGGTTCACTGCGGCCGTCACAAGACTCGAGAACTTAGTCTCGTCACAACCTAGTCCCGAACCAGCATGACAGCCTTTCGCTTCGTGCAGCCAGGGTACCTGTCGTGGTTCCGTCCGTTGCAACCGCTGGAACTACATGAAACCTTGGAAACGATACCTGTGGACTTTGCGATATTCCCGGCTACACGCCTTAGGTGGTTGCTAGTTCATAGCCGACTTGCATGGCGTGAATTTGTTTGGAGATCCCACACTCTTGACGACTATTTAGATTGTTTGGAAAGGGTTATTATTGATTTTCAGAATAGGCACGACGATGGAAGTAGTCAACTCCTACTTTCTAAGGACGACAATGATTTCGTTGACTACCTACTCATGGATCTATGGGGGCGCTTTGATGCATCTTCGGAAGCGTTGGTTTGGGAGGTGTTTGGCTGTCACTTACCTTGCTTCCAAATTCTGTTACAGCAAGCTACATGTCCGCGCACGTGTGAATAAGACAGGAGAAAGGAGGAACACCACACGACGCGACATCCCCCACTGAGGTATGAATGATGCATGATGATGTGATGACGACTGCTGATACCTTCAGGGGCGATAAACCGTGTGTGTGTGTGTTGAGTGTTCTGAGCCGGACACCCACTCCATATCTGTCTCACAACATGACCTTCGGACTGGCACGACCACCGGTGGCAGTCGCTGAATGCCTCGAGCCAGAGACACTAGCGCGCTTGCTGCACCGCCTGTCCATGGACGAAGCCGACTACATTGCATGCCACACTAGCCGACTGGTCTGCGGCATAATTTATTACAACGATGAATTCACATCCGGACCGAGAATTGAGAACTACGTGGAGGATATACTGGAAGTTTGCAAGCTTTTTCGGAGAAGTGATGCACGCTCCGCCCCTCACCCGCTAATATGGGGAGTTCAGCGAACAGTGCATACACAGCTGCTGATCCGACTTTGGTTGCTGTCGGCAAGCGAAGAATTACAGACTGCAAGTTTGTGGAATCAACGTGCATGAAATTGTGCAAGGCAAGAGGCTCTGCAAGTCAAACAGAATTCGCTGCGAAAGTATGGAGCGTTTAGGTGGCTCTGCACTAACATGCTGGTGGCGTATTCCACTGGGACTCAGCAATGGTACGTGCATGGGCCCGAGCTTACACTCTCTGCACCTGACATTTGCAACACCTGCATGCCAGGGATCTGCATGAAATCCTGACACACGGAAGTGTCTGTCGGATGAAAATGCTGACTGGTGGAACCTCCAGACCCAGCATTACTGCATGACCTGAATTCAGCAAAGAAGAAAGGTTATTCAAACTACACAGTGGTGAAGCAAGTACTCACTGCATGAGATGGCTCTTTGTCAGCATGGTGGCAGCGATGAGTACTTCCAAGCTTTTGCATGCGACTGCATGGAATTACAACAATGACGTTTATGGTCTGTTGAAACTGCATGTGGTGCTACTACAACTCAAAGAGACAAATGGTTTCAGACCCTGGAGCAGTGCAAGCTTGTGGAGCCGTGAATCGTTGAATCTGCAAGATACGAATTCAACGAAGTGAAGAGGCTCGGTTCTGCATGACACGACTTCTGCGAAGTGAAGAGGTTCCTGACACAAACAGTGGCGATGCAAGTGCTGGCAGCATGCATGTTGATGGATTTGCATGGACCGAGAGAGTTGTCGATGGAGGAAGTGTATGCAAAGTAGGTTGAAACTTTCTGCTTTGTGGAGTAGCGAGTAAGATGGAACATGGTTCAGGGAACCTTCAGAGCCGAACTAGGTCTTGGTTGGTTGTGTTGGGTCTAGGCGAGTTGGCTCGCGAAGGTGGCTATCAAATGGTTATTACCTATGCTTGTACACTTGCTTTTGTTCTTGCTGCTATCCTACTTGACAGCGAGCATTAAAGTGAACCTACTTTGATGCGTATGTTAACGATCCTTGACGACAGTATCGTGGTGGACCTTGCCAGGCTTGTCCGAGTGTGGGTGTCAAAAAAAGCCCATAGTTCATGCTTTGGGATAGTTGCAGTCATAGATGGCCGAAGATCTTGATACAAGTATCACACCGACTCGCACCTATGAATCCTCGCCTGGCTAGTCCGAGTTGTGAGAGCGTAAACCCATAGTCCAGGCTTGTCCGAGTGCGAGTGTCAAAAAAGCCATAGTCCGAGTTGCGAGTGCGTAAACTCTACTTACGCCCCAAGCCCTGACCTGCTGTATTGTTTTTCAAGCTCCCGATGTATCCCTAGCAGCCGTGGCACCGGTCTCCAAGGCGCTCTCTTTGGAGGCACAGCAGGAGTCTGAGTCGTGGTATGCGCTCAACAGCAATCAGTGCCTGTGCTGAAAAACGGACGGTTGCATGAATTGTTGATGAGAGTTGCCTTGGAATATGCACCAGACAGGGGAGCCTTGTCCACCGTGGTTGCTGCCAGGATACTCTAGGCAATGTTCTGGATGTGCTTGCCCATTACCCAGTCTTTGAATCCCATGGAAGCCAGAAACCATTATTCAGTCATGTATTCAGTCGATCGCTGGTGCTCCGGAGATGTATTTGGGAGCATCATATGCTACCACCGTTTATGCTTGTGGAAATGGGCTTAGACGGTTTTGCCCATCTCGCGCTTAGATGTTCTTCATCTCAAGTTCTCGAGCCGACCCACCCGTTCGAGAGACCCCTGGCTCCCAAGCCCGGGCCCCAAACTTGAAAACCTCTTCAGCAGACCCCCTGCTTTTGCGCCTGGAACCCTGGCAGTTAAGCCCGGAGTTCCCCATGCCTAAACCCGGACTCTTCAAGGTATGCCCTGCAGCCAAAGCCCTTGACCCTGAGCAAAAAACACCCTGAACCTCAAAACCCTGAATCTCCCGAAGCCCAAACGAGCCGACCCTAAAGTCTTGGAATACCCGATGGCCCCCTACACAACCCCTTGTAGGAACCCGTAGATCCCCTGTAACCCCTTCGTAAGCCCTGAGCCAGGAATCTCACCCCCCCGACGTTCAGCTCCTTCGGGGCAGCGGTTTGGTACGGAGCATCTTTGCAGGAACTGTCGCTTCGGTGGGTTGTTTAGCATGTTCGACCAACATCCTATAAGCCTTGTAGGGTTCACAGTTTAGAGTGTCGGACCATGAAGGCTTTCAGTTGTTTTGAGGGGATAGGGCTTTGGGTCTGGGTCTCGTTTCAGGTTTGAGCTGTTTGGGGTCTCCGGTGGGACCTCGGACCTCCCGGAGCCGAAAGGTTCGCCGCAATGCCCGTGCCCGGAGAACTCTGCTTGCCCAGGCTGAGGTCCAGTTTGAACAGGTTAGCACGCCTCAGCTGCAAGATGTAGTCACTGGCAGACTCCGGACTTGTGAATGGCTTTTCGGAGGAGTTTCAGGTTTCTTCATGATGGTTTAAGGGTTTAGAGGTTCGGTTAGGTGGGTCAAGCTGGGCAGTAAGGGCAGCAGCAGAGTCCCTTGTGAAAAAAAGAGGTTCGGTTAGGGCTGCATGGCTTCTAAAGCGGCTGGCCAAGGTCTTCCACATCTTGGTCAGGGTCGTGGGAGACCCACTCCATGACACAGCGAACAACGCACTGGTAGCCGAGCCTTGTCGTTTTGTGCGGGGTCTTTTGTCCTTTACCGTTTACGGTTCGAGATTCAGGGCTTTAGTTTAGCTTGCTTGTTCATTCGAAGTACGTGTCAGATGACAAGTCGTCATCACTCTCGGCATCAACTGCTTGCAGGCGTTCAAGCACCCTGAGATAGGCATCGGATCGCCTGGGAGCGGACAAGCCCCTGTTGTGAGACACTGCCACACTGCAGAAATGGACAGAAGATTCTCTTGGTTTCTGCCTTTTTGCTGTGAGGTCCCGGGAAGTCTTTCCACGTCGGTCTCTCCAGAACTTTACATCCGACGGCCCAGGCGCTCCGAGAGACTGCAACATCCCGGTTCTCGAACAAATCCTTGAAACAATTCGCTACACATGGCCCCCCACATGAAATTCTCAAGCCAGCCTGAAAACACGTCCCCAGGCAACGAAGCCACCCTAGACTTTCCAAAGCCCAGGAGCTGACTCCCGACTATCAGGCGAGACAAAGCTCTGCTTTTGCCTTTAGAATGTGGTGACGAGGGGTGAGGGGTGGTGAAGTAGTGACTTGGGGTTGAAGGTTCGTTCTTCTCTGGTTGGGGTATTTGGAACAGACTCTTCACCTTTGGAGAGATCAGATAGACCGACAGTTGGGAATTCCTTCTGCATCTACACTGTTTCAGGTCACGGGCGCGTGTTGCGTTGGGGGTTCGGGCTTAAATTTTGGAGGGGTGTGCGTTGCAACAAACCTGACCCCCCTGCCAGCAGTGGTGGAGTTTGAGTTGCTTCATTGCGACAGTTTAGGGCTTGTTGAATCCGCCGGGTGGACCGCTCCCGCGGTTGAATGTTCTGAGCGGCGTCTGCAAGCATCTGTTGTGTTAGCCAGGCCAAGGTCAATTTGTAATGCTTCGAGTACACTGTGCCCGAGTGCCTCGCGGCCGTCCCCGAAGCGGTCATCCCCTGGAGCTGACCATCCTTTACTGGACCCTGAACCCAGCAGGAGAAGACTTCCGTTTGGTCCTTCTTTGAGCTCTGGTCCGTGTTGGGCATGCTTTTTGGGATGGTGCCGGCCCCGGAGAATGTTTCTGGACCATCGGGCCTTGTCACTTTGACATTTGAGGAGGTAGTCTGGCAGTGGGGTTTGCCGGGATGCAGTGTGCCTTGGCTTGCGATTTTTGCGGCTGGAACGTGCAGGCATGGCTCTGGAAAAGATTCATGAAGATGTAACTCTAGCATTGAGGTGCACAGTTGTTCGGTGTCCTGGTCATATCTTGTCGATCTGCCAGGGCTTGTGCGCTTCGTTGAGTGTTGACCTCACGGAACCCTCAAGCCTCAAACCTGGCTGCAAACGCAAGCAATCAGACGGTCAAAGTTCATGCAGAACATTGGATTCTGAGGGCTGGACCGTTCAAGCAATATGCAGGGACTGTGAAGTTTGTGATTCGGGTTTGTCAGGCCCAGGCCTACATTGCAATCCCGGACTCATAACGAGAACAGGTGACCCCCATCCTCGGGGAATCGGAATGTGCTTCCACACCGGAAACGGGCTGCTGCTGGCTGCAATCCGGGGATCGAGATTGTCGGGGAGGGTATTCAGGGGCAGGTTAGAAGGCACCCATGGTGAGCCGAACACCCCCACATTGACAAGCCTAAACAAGAGACGGCATCATCTCATGGCTCAGGCGCCGTAGTGTAACCACTTGCAGCGTTTTTTGTCGGGATCTGTTCTGCTGACGAACCGCACGAAATCTCTGAAAACTGAACTACGAGGAGCCTTGAGCTTTGGGGCTGTCGGGACTCGGGGTCTGACATTGCCCTTGAAGCTTGCGAAGAGCCGCTCAGGTTACTTTTATCTCCAATTCGCCATCTTGGTGGGCGTGCTGTTCTCTGCGCACCCGGGCTTGCTTTATTCCGGGACTTTCCCTCCGACATAGTTTAACATGAACGCCCAGACACCCTTTCCCTAGCGGAGCTAGCAACTCCCGGATTTCATCTAGTTCATCAACAGGGAGGCTAGTCCTATGCCCGAAAATTTGATCCATCGACACCCTAGGTCCACTCTTCTGAAGTGCTGGCTTGTCAAGGCAGGGCGCTGGGAGAGTTGTTTCGGTCGTGCACTTCTCTCTCTGAAGATGTGCACAAAAGCAAGCCGTAAGTCGCAAGTCGGGCTCCGAATCTGCCTCGCAGCCGTGCGCGGTATCACGATCTGCGGCTTGTGATGGGAAGTGGAAGTTGGCGGCTTTGCGAATGTGTTGCGTGTCCAACGGGAAAGCTTCAGCAGGGACCTTGAGAGAGTCAATGTGGAGGGACTGGCACAGACCCAACTGCAAGTTCCTGCATAGAGCTTTCGATCTAATCAGGAGCGCGCGGCCCGGACGTTGGAGAAGGCGTGCTACATAGAAGACTGTTCATGCCTGTTAGAAGTAGAAGAGCACTGGGTAGATTCTGCACGTTCTTGTTGGCATAAGGTTCTCCGCCCGTGGTTTTCTTGCTACATTATATCTTTAAAGGACTGTTTAAGGACATCTTGATTTCGCCGCAATGCTCGGCCTAATTAGCGGCAAGGTCGAATCCAGTTTTCCACGAACTACCGCCGGAAGGGCCCCAAAGCCCTTCAGCCCAGGGCTACACACACGTTGCAAGTTTCCATGCGGGCTTTGGCCGGTGGAATTACCTGCAGATCTAGAATCTAGCACACTCCAAGTTTCCAAGCACCTGGGCAGCCGGAGTAGATTTGCCACCCTCTCGGGCAAGGGTCCCGCCAATCGTCGAAAGGCCGCAGTTGTGAAAAACTTTTTGTCCAATCCCAAACTGATGCCCCCACACTGACTCGCACAGCCCTCGAAGGAGCCTGCTAGCCTGGTTGCGTCGATCGTCTCGTGCTTCAAGAACTATCCGAGCTTCAGTTGCAGTGAGGCTGCCTACGCATCTTTTGTTAGAAAACGAATATCTATATATATATATATGAATGATGCAGGGCTGCCACACCCCCCCTCCCCCCGCCCCCCCCCCCACTCCCGGGCCTGTGGTGGCATCCCCACCCTTAGCTGAGGCTTTGGTTGGCCTTGTTCGCAGTTGTGACTGCTGCCGGTGATACTGCTCATGGCTCGCGAGTCGACACTCAGATCAT